TATATATATATATATATAATATATAATATATATATATATATATATATATATATATATATATATATATATATATATATATATATATATATACTATATGTATATCTATATATCTATATATCTAGATATATATATATATATATACGAATCAAATGAGCTATCTATCAGGACTTACTCTGGCATTCGAAATATAAAACTATTGCTTTCAAATCAAATAATGGTCTCAAACTGTGCTAGCCACGAGTGCCTGAATAGCATAAGGCGACACCATTTAAAAGGCGACACCATTTAAAAGGCGACACCATTTAGAAGGCGACACCATACTCCACAGATCCGGGACGTCACTTTTGAAAGCCTCTCAGCCGTATGCTCACATCAACTTTTAATTTACAATACCAGTCCTGGCAATCAGTGTGTGCTTACCGATAACTCCTTCGACATCACACGGGTGGCCTTTTCTGTGCCATGCACGAGCACTGTCTGTCTGGGTGCCATCTGCTGTAGGATTGTTGACATGGATGTCATATCAGACAAGCCCTCGAAGTCTATGAACTTGATTTTGCACTTCACAGCTGTGATAAATGAGGAAGGGTTGGGAATGGATCGTGAATTCGGACATCGCTCAACAACTATGAAACCAATGCGAGATTAACCCAGTTCAATCTAGATGTGATTTGAAACGATGAATTTGTCCAATAATGTAATAGAAAAACTACGACAGTGAGAAGAATACATTTACTATGCTGCAGGCCACAAATTACAGACATGTACGAAAACGAAAGAAACATTATATGGTGCACGTCACTAATCACGAAATAGACAGATCATTTTGTTTAGATTCTTACCAACCTCGAGTTGAAGTACAGTAGGATATACACTCGTTGAGTCCAGATAGATGTTACGTCTCTCATAACGAATTCATGCAGAGTAGAAGCACTTACAGATACTATTTTGACCCTCTTGGATTTAGGTACACTTCAAGCTGCTAATTGTATCGGAAGAACACAAGTTAACAACAGTAAAATCAAATTCCCGGAAAAGTAGAACACTTACACAAGTGCAGATCTTCCACTATGTACTTTGTGGCCTTTTCCCTGTCTTCCATCTCTTCCATATTGGCAGCCTCTTCGTCAGCCGTCTTATCCTCGTCCATTGGCATCACTCCCGATGGGTCCGCCTCAATGTCTCCGATCAAACCTCCGATTCCACCTAGTTGAACAATGGATAGCCGATGAATTAGCCAACGCGATGGATTCCCAGTTGTAGAGGACGCATATTCTCAATCATGCACATTCAGCCGTCACCAATGGACAAGCACAGCAAAGCACACTGTCCATGAACAACTGCGAGTATCAGCGATTTGATAGTTACGCGGCCTACTCAAAAACTAAATTGATAATTCTGACGGAGAGTAGCCACAACGCATTGAAGTGTATCACGCGCCGAGCGCAAAGACGGCGACAGCAGACACCAAGATGCAATCCGAAGAATGAATCGAATTTTCTTTGTTAATTCTATAGAAAATGTGATAAATCGCACGAAGGCGACGTAAGCTATGTGCCTCTTAGAGGCATTTCATCAACACTAATAACTTCGCGCGGCCCTGCGTGTTATATGGACAACCCCTTATACGAAGAGAACCCTTGAGCATTCGTAAATATGCTCAGAACCCAACAGGTATTCCCCCACATCCAAAAAGGTACAATGACAGACAGTTGAATTACGTAATACTCATAACAAGCAACCACCAAGTGCACAGACACAGTTCGTGTGTTGACCACACCCGTAGACTCGAACCTCACACCAAGCCAGAGCACACGCAAACATCAAGTTCACACCAGGGGGTTTCAGCTGCGAGTATACAACACCAACTTCCCCTCTGTTATGGCTTGTACTTGAAGAGTGTGTGTATGTGGGTGAACTCCTATCCCTTATCTGAACCGCGAACCCTCCGTACCTGCAGCTGCCGCAGCCACCGCGCCCATGGTCGGATCGTTGATGACCAGAAACTCGTCCGGCCTCAACACCATACCGTAGTCATCCATCTTCATCTTTGTTTCGATTGCTGGAAACATTGGAAACTTCACAGATGCTTGCTTGAAGAAGTTGGTCTTGTGACTGGTGGTCATGGGGATGTCGTGCTTGACAACCTTCACCGCTACAGAGCCGCCCTTCCTGCCCTCCGACGTGTTGACATTGACCTGGGAGTGACAACGAACAAGTTGGGGAGTGAGAAATAGCTGTATTCGCAAATAAGGACGAGGAGAATATATAGACAATCAACATATATAAGCGTCAATGATCTCTAATAAACCAAATTTCACTAAGACAGAGGTCAACGGGTATATGGTGCGGTTGAGAGCATCTGTTTCAAGCTCGGTTTGTACAGCTTTCCTGAATCTATACGTATCACGGATATGAAACTGCAAAGAGTCAACCAGTCATACGCCATACGTCAAGTACAATATAGACACGAGCACCTTCGCTACCAGTGAAACATACCCCGCATAAAAGAGAGACAGGCTCGTAAACTAGAATGATGAGTGGCGACAACAACCACAAGTTACATAGCACGCCATTGCATTCGAAGGACGCGTCAAATGCAACAGACAATAGTAGGATACGAAGAGATTGGTGGTTAAGGGTCCCTGTACTGTAAAGCTGTCCTATATGCCAGTATCGTGCGACACTTAGTAGCAAGAAGCATTAATCCACCTCGATATGATTTAGACAGCGTTGGCCTCGTCACCTACCTGATAAGTATACGCGATAGCATCAAAATACACCATTTTATATCAAGTACGAAATGTCAACAGAGATAACAAAACTAAGTAGAAGATCCCAAGTACGGATATGCTAAGATGTCGACGAGATAACAAGCTAAAACGTATTCTCACCACCGTCACAAACCACCACCCTTGTCACATAGCTATGATTTTTGGCTAATTACTTGCATCCCAAATTGGTCGATACTTGCAGGATACACTGCATGGTTCAAGGAGGTATCGCGCACTTGCATTTCTTGACGATATGCTATTGAAACCGCGAATAGCGTACCACTAAACCATAATTGAAGAGAGAAACAGCGTTACTCTGAAAGTTCTAGCTCAAATCTATCAATAGTCATCACATCCAGCCACAATGAATGCGCTTACCATGTGTATAGCAGATGTTACTTCATCTCCATCGCTATCGTCGTCACTGTCATCAGAGCCCATGGCTTTGGCCAGTTGCTTCGCCTCCTGTTCTAATCGTTGCTTCTCTTGCCTTTCTTTCCTGTGTAGGCATGACTATGATGTTTAAACAATGCACGGGTATGCTATGGACCCGACGTATTTGAAAACGTCGGCAAACGTTCACAAAAAGCACACATGTGCACGATACATATTAACAACACCAATTCTACAAATGTACAAATATATATGCACGAACACGTGATTAATAGGGCGCGAGACACAGCACTTGAAAATCAAACACCTTCGCACTGTTCAGGACATAAACAGGTTTGTCCATGCCTGCCGAAAGAAGAAATCATTTGTCAGCAGCACATAAAGGACACAGTACACATCTATGAAAGTGATATGAACATTGTTTGAGGTGAATCCTGACACACGGTGAAAATCTCATACGGCTAGATACAGAAATGTAGCATACCTTCGCTTCCCCAAGAATTCTTCTAATTCTGTACCCTCTAGTGGTATTCTTTTTTTAACGTTTAGATCGAGCTCTCTAATACCGTTCTTGAGCATTTGGTGACTAATTGTATCAGGCGCCGGTCTCGATGTGTACACCACCGCATTCTTGGGCTCTTCGGCCCATTCTAAAAATAAATCGCGAGACAATCCCGCAGTAAGACCCGGCAGCGTACTCAACACTACCATGGGGGTACTACTCGAGCTATTGAGCTCATGAAGTTCGTCTATCGAGTACACAATCTTAACATTCTTGAATTGAAAGGGATTTGTTTTGCTGTTCATAGTTTGTTTGTGCATGGCATCCGACATCCACGACAGCGTGGACTTTGCGTACACACACACATTCTCTGCAAACACATTCAGCCACACCAGTCTGTACGACTGCAGACTGCGCACTTGCCACACCTCGTCCAACAGCAGCGCCAACTCCAGCACACGCGACGCTGTATCGACCGGAAACAACACATTCCCATCCTTGCGAACAGTGGAGAGGATAGAATCCACAATGTCCCGTTCCGTGTCCTTCCGCGTCGCGGCCTGAGTGATTAGCGCATTGTTGCTATCGGTTATGAGTAGTGACGGCCGTGTGATGTGAAAGAGTTCGCAGCCATTCAGGTGCCGTTCTTTCTTGTGGTTGTAGTCGACCGCGTAGACATAGTCCTCCTGGTCCTTGGTGATCTTCCAAATCGTGCCCCCGAGTGTGTGTCCAGAGTTGTAACCGAGAAATGAGATACCTTCACCCTTTCCTGTGGTAAACACGGGTGTGAGATTTGCATCAGCAAGTGCGGTGAGTGAAGTTGGCGGATGCTATTGAACATATGTATGTATAACTAATTGAGGGCGATGTACACGAAACGCTCAATTCTGAAGCTGAGAGTAATAGCAATAGTGCGCTAAGTATCACAGAAGAGAATGATGAAGCAAAAGCTCCATACCTGTGCAGTTGTGTAGCTGCTTGTGTTTCAGTTGCACAATCTTGTCATTGAAAACAAGATCCACATGTTCGAGTGTGAATTTATCGAATTCTTCCTGGTTGTAGTACGACTGGAATATATCATACATGACTAATTGTCCCATCTGATTCACAGGCAACGTCATATACACAGGACAGTCCAGTCCAAGATGTCCAAAGGCGTAGGGCAGTGCACCCAGATGGTTCATGTCTAGATGACTTATCAGCACAGCATCGACTGTTGGGGCGTACCTATAAAAGTCAGACATGGTGGATGAGTATACTAGTTACTCATAGTGATTCTACAGAGTTATATATACACATGCCCGATCGCATGTTATTGGAAGCAATGCTCCAAACTAAGATCTCTGGATGAAATTCGTAATCCTGTTCATAATACACTACTCACGGGTACAATTATGTATCAATGCAAATGTGCAATTCGTACTCCACTCAGACTGCCACCGAATGAAACACGCAAGTGTCACGATTTGCCAGTGCTGAGTGGTAAGTTAAAACGCTGACTTTGTTATCGCTGGATAGATCCGGACAATACGACAATGTACTTTTTAGATACTTTCTCGAAAGAAAAGTGCACATAGCTGCGCGTATGTATGTTATCGAGTAGATATATTTAGTCAGGAAAGAAATAACAGCTCTAAAACCAATGCAAGCATCTCAACAAACCGAATCAATGTGAAAATTTACACAGTGCCAGGCGTAGGCTCGTTAACCTCATACATACTATGCCAGCTGATATGTCTGTCCAGATGGATTTGCCAGAAAAATACAATTTTGAACTCCTGTAAACTAAGAATGTTACTCGAATGGTAGTTTTGCATACGTAGAGACGAAAAGAGTTGCTATAACATGAAAAACGGCGATCATAAAAATAAACACACTCACAAATATATGAATAAACACAAACGTACAAGCATGAACATGGTACAGTAATAATCATAATAATGATAATAAGAATAAGAATAATAATAATCATAATAATAAAAATAATAATAACAATTCTACGACAAATAATAGTAATAATAATTATAATAATATATATAAATATATAATAATAATACATAATAATACATGTATATATATGCGCACACAAAACACACACACACACAGACACAGACACAGACACACATACACACACACACANATATATATATATATATATATATATAATACATAACAAACTACATATATATATATATATACATAAATATAATATAATATATATATATATAATAATATATATATATATA